CCCCGTCCCACCACGCCACTCCCCCTCTCCGCCTCGATCCCCACCCTGCCTTAGACGGGGCAGGGGGGGCTCGGGGGGTACGGGGCGAGGACTTGCCCCGTTTCCTGCCCCATTTGTTTTTTATTTAAAACACAAATTCAAAATTTTAAAATTCAAAGCAAATAATATTCAAACTAACTATATCAACATTCAAAACAAGCACTTGAAACAAAAAAAATGTCCAAAACAAATAATGTTCAAAGCAATTTTTTTTTTTAATTCTTCACGGGACGCCCCGCCCTGCGACCCGCGGCGGGTTTTTTTGCCCCATTCAGGGAGGGGCCCCACGGGGACGGGGCGGGGTTAGGAAAATTGCCATCTCTAATAATGGATTGCATAGACCCATGTGGAAGAAATCATGCCATGGATGTGAAGTGTGAAAAAGTCAAAAATTGTAAACTACCGATGGATGGGCATGTCAATTATGTAATGTATTATGTAAACGATTATATACTTGTAACATAGTCCATAAAGAAAACCCATGTTTCGAAGAAGGCCAATTTTTCCACCAAATTTCTTGTTAAAAGCCTTTAATTAGTGCACATTTGACATGCATTATTACAAACAATAATTTTGACTTTTTATTTTTTTACTTAGCCCCCGTGGGTAATGTTAAAAAAATTGATTAAAATCTAAGTTAAAATCAGCAATTAATTTTAACCATACATTTTATATGATCCATAACTTTTCAACTACACATTCAATCAATTTTTATCACAATTTGCTAAAAAATTGATTTTAATTTCTACCAAACATATGCTTAATTTTATAATAATATTACTCAATTCAACTTACAAATCATGTCCTAAAACTTTTCCAAGCAGAAAATCAGAGCAGACTTTAATAAGGAGCTATTTCTAACCCGAAAACAGTAACTACAACGAGTTTCACTCTCTACAACTTTGTAAAAAGCCATAGCCACCTTTTTTAGTATTGAAAAGGGCAAAAAGAAGTTGATTTTCTGCATGGCTTGAAGCCATGTTTGGCAATGTTCATTTTATATGCTTAAAAACTCTATCAAACTGAACTATCGTAACCTTCGGAGTTGGGAGTTTCATCATTTCACAATTGAATCATAAACCCAACCATCAAACTAAAAAAAACGAAGAAATTTGAAATGATCAATTACTATATAATCACCATGTCACCAACCTTAACCTAGAAGATTTGAGGCAATGAAAGGCATGCTAAAAGGACTAAAAGTAGCAATAATTTTGATACAATAGAATGTCTGTTCTTTGTTACAATGTAAATTACTAGGTATAATTTTCTTCTCTCTCTCTCTAATATGATATATGTTCAATCCCTACAATGGCTACATAATGTTCAAGGCTGATTTTTTAGCATGTTTTATCGACTGGATTCTCAACTTCTCGATATTATTCGACAGTATTAAGAAACAAAAATATGTTACAATTTTATCAATTGCAATTGTTTAGTACTACTTATTCTAACATGTTCTTCTAAAAAATAAGTTAATTGTTGTACATTGCATTGTCTATCACATTATCTAATTTTGTTCGTTGATAGTTTATCCTCGTGCCTCAGGTCTTAACCGTTGTGGCAAGAGCTGCCGTCTTCGTCTCCGGTGGCTTGATTACCTTCGACCGGATATAAAACATGAAGCTTTTACACTGGAAGAAGACATACACACTCTACAGTAGCTTGAGAAGCAAGTAAGTTTAATTATACATAAAATTATATAATTATTTAATGTCAATTAAGACATTTTCTCTCTTAATTTTTATTAATTGACCATTTAAAAGGGGCGTACCTCTGAAGCAGCTCACAGTGTAAGAATTATAAAAGGGAAAAAGGAATCGTAAAGTTTCGCATATATACACTGTTAATGCATTTATCTATTGAAGTGTGTATAATTGCTGTTTGGACGAGCCATAGATTTTTATTTATTTAATTATTTATTTTTTACCATGGTTAAGCGAGCCTTTTAACCACGGTCAAAAACCAACTTATATTTAAATGAGCCAGCCAGCAAGCAATTGTGATAGTACACATGACAGTAGTTTCTGTACCGTGAAACTTCTGAAAACAAAAAATGATGAAGATGATCGGAAATCCACCTCGATCAAATCCCACAGTTATAATCCCACCATCATGTAACTACCATTTTGCAGACGATCCAACGGCCACCATTCACACACCCCTTAACATTTGTACAGCATTACAACGTCATATACAGTCGAACAAAGACGGCGTTGTAACGGAAGAAAAAGGAAATGGTGTCGTAATGGTACAAGAAGATCTGCTTGATGATTTTGATTTTCCGGTTGATGCATATTCGTGCGATGATTTTCGGATGTTTGAGTTTAAGGTGAAGATGTGTGTACGTGTAAGGTCACATGACTGGACAGATTGCCCGTTTGCTCATCCAGGCGAGAAGGCTCGCCGGAGGGATCCCCGGAAGTTTCAATATTCAGCCGCAGGATGCCCTGACTTCAAGAAGGGAGTGTGTAGAAAGGGGGATTCGTGTGAATACTCACACGGCGTATTTGAGAGCTGGCTCCACCCGGCTCGCTACCGTTCGCAGCCTTGCAAGGATGGTACCCACTGCCGGCGCCGCGTCTGTTTCTTCGCCCACACAGCGGATCAGCTCCGTGTATTTTCCTACACGAGTCCGGACTGCTCCCCAAGTCGAATCGGTCAGGAGACGTCCTCTAAAAATGCTTTTGGACATTCTCCAACTTCGTCTCCTGCGACTGGGTCGCCACCTTTGTTGCGGATGGGCCTTAGCATGAGCCCACCAACTTGGGGCCTTCAAATGGGATCCGGTTTTGAGTCGCCTCGTCGGAGCCCGCCAGCTCTCCTACCCGGATTCTGGAGTTTGCCATCAACTCCGGTTTGGACCCGGACTCGGTCCGGACTCAGTGTGTTCGACCTTTTGGAAACCACCGCTGAAGAGGAACCAGTAATGGAGAAAGTGGAGTCTGGTAGGGACCTGCGGGCTAAAATCTATGCGAAACTCAGTAAAGAGAACTCGCTCCATCGAGTCGACTCATGCAATTCGGATTCTGATTTTGGGTGGGTTTCAGAACTGGTAAAATAACTACCGGTTTTGGATCATGAGCAATCGGGTCGATGGTTTTGACTGTGAATTTTACTCGTTGACTTTATTTTTATTGAAGAGGATGGTATTATTAGTGGATAATTTGATTTCTGATTTTCGATTTTCAATATTAAAATTTCGTGCTGTAAATTAATTTTCAATTCGAGCATGCTTTCTATTTTATTTCGAGTTAATTTTCTTTAGAGCGTGTTTTAATTGTCTTTATTTTTTTAAAAAAAAAATGTCATTTTTCACCCAAATTCTTACTTTTAAAGTTTGATTGACTGACGTTCTTTTTTATTAAAAATATTTTCCAAAATGATCATATATTTCTCAAAAAGAAAAAAATATTTTCTTTGAAGAGGGATATTTTTATTTGTTTAAATTTTCTAGAGACTCTCTCTCTCTCTCATCCACTCATCAATAAAAGTTGGACAAGTATAATATTTTCTAAGTTAAAAATTAAATTAATCAAACACATTTAAATACGGGTTCTGCTGCTGTGCCAGGTCGGTAAAAGACCTGGCACAGCCATGTGAGATGGGGTGGGTGGGTGTTTTAACATTTTTGGAGGGTTTTTTTAATGAGTTAGGTCCTCGGGACCCACCTCATGTGAGATAGTCTGTACAAAATCTGTGAACCAAAATCTGGTAGAGTAGAATAATTCTTTAAATATTTCCAACTTGATTGACTTTATTTTTCATGGAAAATATCACTTTTCACCCAAATTCCTATTTTTGGAAGTTTGATTGACAATTTTTTTCGTGGAAAATATTTTATAACTTTTGGTCATGTGACCATATTTTCCTCGAAAATAAGGAAAACATTTTCTTTAGTGAGATGTGATTTTTATTTTCCATGTATTTCGTTTATTCTCTTTTATCTATCCATTCTCTCTTATCTACTCACCGATAAAAAATAGACAGATATAATATTTAATAGGTTGAAAATTAAACCAATCAAACACATTTAAGTAATAATTTACATACAAATAAGTTCTAGATAATTCAATTGTTTAAAATTTATTTTCTTTCCATACAAATTCTGTACTCGCAATCAAACGCACCTTTATTTTCTTTTAATAAAAATTTCATACTTACAATCAAATACACACTTGCAGTCATCTATGAAGCTAAATGAACATAATGTTTGACATATGTGTTGACCGATCACACACATTGCATGTGGGTCCCGACCTGAATTAAATAATGCCGACCTCCCCATGTGTGTGTGTTGTGTCATCCACTATATCAAGCATTATGTTTGTGTAGCAAAACTCTATGGTTGTTGAAGTTTGCACCTAATGCCACATTGACTACTGAATTTTAATTTATTTTAGGCACATCATTAAAGTTTACAAAATATTTAATTCGGATCGCTTATTCAATTTACCGTCCATTTTTAACTGAAAATCTTACTTCTTCACATCAAATTGTAGGATTTTCAATTAAATCCTATAAATTGGAACGCAGACATGCAGGATCTTCAATTAAAAAACAGACGCCAAACCCCATTGATTTGAATGAAATATTTTATATAGTTCAGTGATAAGTCCGTAACAAATTAACATTTGGTCAAGTGCAAAGTTGAGGGGCCATTAGCCATTTTATTATTCTATGATAAAATAATAAAGTATATGGCTTTACCAACAATTTAAATTAAACTATGTGCTACTAAGTATTAATTTAATAATTTTAACCAATATTCGACTTACAAATTAACGTTTATCTTCAAAAGATATGTTTTTTGATATGGATAAGCATGTCCTCATTAGTCTTATCCTCACTTTACTTCATACATTATTGATGCTTGTAATTTTAAATTAAATTCAACATATACTTACAAAATAATCTCTTTTCAAGTAGGCAATTTTAATTATGTGGCTTGTTTGTCAACTTTTGGAGTGATTACTAGCGGTCTATATTTCCTCGGTGAAAAGTAATTGGTTTCAAGAAAATTTTACGTAGTAGGGACGGAGGAAATTAACTTATATGAATCAAATGGATCGATTCGATCTGCAGTAAAAATAACGTAAAAACTATTTTTTGTAATAGGTAGATTTCGTTGGATTTTAAAATTTAAACGTAAAGTCAAGAAGACCAGACGAATCTAGTTTGGTTCAATTACATGGGACTATCCAATTCTATTTTAAAGAAAATAAATTTGTATGGTACAAGTTGTTGTAAAATAGGTTATTATGCACTAGAGTAAGTATAATATATTGTTAATTAAGACTATAATTTAGATAGAGGGTAATGATCAATTTGGTGTCATCTATCAGTCTTTGGCCCCAACAAGATAATCTACGATCGCCACCAGTTTCTTAGCCTTCACTTTGTCGCATTTTTATTTTTTTATAATCAACTTGTTGAACTAAAAAAAGGACTAGACATTTCGAAATGGATTGAATTGACATCACGATTAAAGTCAATAATTGGGCCAATAGAAGGCCAATCTTAAGCAACAATTGAGGGAACGTCTAAGGTCAAACTCATGTCGAACGATGAGAGAGTCTCGGATGCCAAGTTTGAAGATCGAGTCGATCAAAAAGATGTTCAAGCCGAAGTGAGTTGCAAGAATAAAATAAATCAATAGTGCCATAATTCGACTTGACTCAATGTTATAGTAGCGAATTGATCTCTAACTTGTATAAATGAGCAACTTTCTGTCAAACCATCCTATAAACTCGTTAAAAGTCCAATTTTATGAAGTTACATTTTGATTTCAAAGTTAACCCGCTCTTAAAATTCTGAAAGGCTACATGTTTCTTTAAGGCGACATGTCAACCTAATGAATATAAAACAACTCCTATTGTCTCAAGTAATCATAATAAAATGTTAAGACTAAATAGTTCATTTTTTAGATGTATGGAGTTAGTTTCACCCTTTTAGAGATTGGACCTTGGTACATAAAAAAGTGTACATGAGGGTGTCATTTCCCCACATGGGGTTGGTAGCACACCATGTGAGGGAAATGACATCCTTATGTACACTTTTTTTATGTACACGAAACATAATTCTTAGATATTTGTAGCTAACTTTTTATCCGAGTTATAAATTAAAAGTTAATAATACATTTTTTTCTATCTTTGACTTGCACGAGAGGTTGTCGTAGGTTTTAAAAAGAAATGAGCCAATGTAATACAATTAAATGTTAAGTGTTAAATGCCAATAAATTAATAATTTACTGATTAATTGATAACTATTGCTTATCCATGTATTCCTTATTTTTATAAATAATTTATATTGGTATTTAGTTTTTCTAACTAACAATTCTATGTATTTGTTTAATCAAGCAAAAACTCTATCTTACATTTCCAAAAATAGATTGTACATAATACTATATTATTCCATTTTACAAATATTTAACCAAGCAAAAACTCTATCTAAATGAACCAAAAGTCGTAGTAATACGTCAGTAGTCTCTCATTTCAAAGGTGCGAAGAAATCAACAATCAACTTTGACACTCTTTCGGTGCAGTATTAGCGCCGGTTTGAGCCCCATTTTTTTTCCCCTTAAAATGCATTTTAAAATAGAATTTTGAGGGAGAATGCGTAGTGAAAAATAGGGAAATTTTTTGGATTTACGTGTAATATTATTTTATTGAAAAATATTTGATTGAAAATAATAGAGTGAAAAATACATTTTGAAAATAATGGAGACCAAATAAGAGTTTAAAAAATCAAAACAAAACTTATTATCGTGTTAAAAAAAAGTTAGAAATGAGATCTAATCTGCCAATCAATTTTATGAACAATACAAACAATAATAATCCAATAGGCAACCTTTGAAACCTATTGAGAAAATACATTCCTGATTATATTTAGGAAGTTGGTTGTTGGAATTTGGGTGTGACCCGAATTCCTTTGTTGAAGTGTTTGAAGTATTGAAGAATTTTAATTAAAATGCACTTTAAGGAGAATTCAAGTTTGGAATGTTATTGAAATCCTATGTCAAGTTGAAGTTCTATTTTGGAAGTCCATTGGGAGTTGAAAATTGATATTGGACTTGAAGACGAATTTGGATGGAGAAAACAATTTGAAAAAAAAAAAAAAAATTCTGCAGATTGCGCCGCGGCGCCACCTATGCTATTCGGGTTTTTCCGCGTTTTCTTTCCTACTTCGTTTTAGAGTCGATTTCTGACATCCTACTTCATCAACAACTCTACTAAGAGGGTTTGGACGTCCCTTACATGTTCCCTATAAATATTAGGTACTTCTATACAATTTTATGGTGTGAAAAAATATATTGCTGGAATTATAGGATCTATTGTAATTTTTCTCTATTCTCCATTATTTTTAAACCAATATAATCTCTTAATTCATCTGCCATATTCTTATCTTTATTATTCTTTTACTTGATGTAATACTTCATTATTTGCCATATAATTTCAACATCTTAATCCGATGGTTTATTTCACAACAAGTGGTATCAAAGTTATTTTGGTATCTTATTTGTTTTACAACATGAGTGTTTTAAATTATTTGATTTTGAAATTTTCCCCAACTTGTGGTTGATTGATCTTAAAATGTAGAATTGTTGGTTGGTCTCCAAAGGATGTTATGAAGGTAGAAAATAATGATCAATCACATTTTTCATGAAGTGGGACTTGAGTATTTATTGTATAGAGGTATTGGAGTAGTATATGATAGACAGAACTTTTGAAAATTGCAAACTAGGATTTTTCGAAAAACACCGTCGCTCGAGCGCCAAGCAGACGACAATAATTTTGTTTTGGACGCTCGAGCATCAGTTTGGCGATATACTAGTATAATTCCGACGACTCTTTCTTAATATTCCATACTCAAACTCAAAGACTCCTAATTCATTTGCACAATACCCCAAAAGACTTCTTAATTTTTACAACTCTTTTATAATAATCTTTTTATCTAAAAAAATAACCAATACAACTTAAAACCTAATAGCTTTAGTAATGGAAGTGTCACTCATGTGACCTATAACTCTTCTAATCAGTCCCTTCACTAAATACATCTAATTTATTTTCTATTTATCATAACATTGACGTTTTCCCATTAAAAAGTTCTTATACTTGTAAATAAATTAATAAATGCAACATTACAAATATCGGAATACAAAGTTATGATAAAAACACTGAAAAAAGGTGTAGCTGCCTGTTTAAAACAAGAAATTCCGTTACATAGTCCGTTAAAACAACAAATTCCGTTAGTTTTTCCGTTAAAAACAAGAAATTCCATTACATAACCACTTTTAATATATAGAAGATATANAAGAAATTCCGTTACATAGTCACTTTTAATATATAGAAGATATATAAACAATAATAGAATCATATTTGAGGAAGACCTCATAATTTAATCAGAAGCATTATTAATTTTTATATTACGTGGAATCTATATGATTTTTTTAATAATGCATTATCTCATAAATTTAATGAATTATTAATTTAGCATAGGTAAGTCGGGATCAATCTAAAATATTATTTAACCAGAGTTATCGAATATTAAATTATCGAGAATCTACTGTCGGCACTGCAATTCCTCCTTAAAAAGAACAAAACGGCCGACAAAAGAGACAAAGTTTCCTTAATTTAATTCATTTATAAGAGCTTTGCTCAAAAGTCGCAAGTGATTAAACTCAGTGGGATTTTCTTGAGATTTGCATTTTAAATCTTCTTTACATGATTGTCAATTTTTTACCACGACAAAGTGTAATGGGAGCATTCTTGGGATCTGTTTGGCTATTTGTTTATTCACTTGCCCAAAAAAGGCTATGATGCTTGAAATAATTTTTTTACATTGTTTGGGGAGGTCTTGTTTTTTAAATTAAAAGTAAAAGAAAACATAATCGTGAATGCTCTGATTTGGGACATAATTAAAATGGAGTATGGGATTATTAGTGAACTAAGTTTGGACTATATTCTGTTGCTGTTGCTGTTGCTGTTGCTGTTGATTTATTTTTTTTTCGGTTTTATTCGGCATCTTCAAATGAAAAATAGATGCAAGTCGAGGAGGATATTATACAAATGGGGGATGGGGGATGTCATCCGGGGTCATTTGAGAATTGAGAGTGGTTGTGGCGGCACAAAATAAAAGTATACAGCGCTTTCTTTGTGTTGATGATGCTGAAGCAAATGTTTTTCGAAAAAAGCTACTTGTACAANACCCTTGTTTACGGACCTTGCTACTTGTACAAAGAATTTGTACAAAAATGTTGACAAACCCTCACATGTGAGGGGGCCCACTTTTTATTTTCAATTTTTTATTCATGTGGGGCCGGCCATCATGTGAGTGTTTGTCAACATTTTTGTACAAATTCTTTTGTACAAGTAGCAAGGTTCATGTTATTCTCAATGAATTGGTCATCTTTGTCACTTTACGAGGATCAGCTTTTTTCCCCTTTACAATAACCTTGTGATTTTTCACATCAATTTCAATATTCTCGACTCCTAAAAGTCACATCAAAAACCAATTAGCATTTAACCCATATTCATATTATACAAAAATTCACCTAAAATCAAAACCCTTATCAGATTAAGAATGTTGGGACCTTCAAACTTGCAGAGGCATCGAAGCACTTCATCTTGACATTCTTCACAAGGAATATGAACACCCAATACAATTACTCCATCTGGGTTGCCAAAGAAAGTGATTCCCAAAGTGTAATTCAAAGTTCGCAATCTGACTTCCATTTTGCACCTAGCGAGGCTATTCTTCGTGACATTATTATGTTAAATTTGATGTCAATAAATAAAAGAATTCAGTGCAGAATTATGTAAAGAAATTTTCAATGGAAAAATCCGATTTCAAAATTCTGTTTTTAATTTTTTCTCGAAGGCATCAATCAGATAATTCGCAGGGGAAAAAGTCCCTCAACCAAATCCCACAGTTAAAAAAAAATTCCAAGGAATTTTCTCCTTGTTAGTGATAAATTTTTTTTTGTACATATTTATTTTAAAACGCAAAGACTTTGTTCACTGCAAATTCTGTTGCTAAAAAAAATTACCTATCAAAGAATGTGGAATAAAATCCGATATTGATATCCTTATGAACGGATTTTTGACATGATTTTCCCTTTGTCGATACCGCTTTTGTTTAGTATCACTTTTCCTGATCGATAACTACAAAAGTACGTATAATTATTAATGAAATAGATGTTAAATCATAAAGAAAAACCTTGTTTCGAAGAAGGCAAACTTGTCCACCAAATTTCTTGTTAATAGCCTTTAATTAGTGCATGTTTGACATTGCAGAATTACAAACAATACTTTTAACTTTTTATTTTCTTATTCAATACTATAATAATATTACTAAATTCAACTTACCAATCATGTCCTAAAACTTTTCCAAGCAGAAAATCAGAGCAGACTTTAATAAGGAGCTATTTCTAACCCTAAAACAGTAACTTCATCAAGTTTCACCATCTTCAGCTTCGTAAAAAGCCATAGCCACCTTTTTTAGTTTTGAAAAGGGCAAAAAGAAGTTGATTTTCTGCATGGCTTGAAGCCATGTTTGGCAATGTTGATTTTATATGCTTAAAATTCTGTCAAACTTAACTATCGTAACCTTCCTCGTTATATAACTTTGGAGTCGGGTGAAGAACATAGACGGAGTTTCATTTCACGATTGAACCATAAACCCAACCATCAAACGGAAAAAAAAAAAGTGAAATTAAATTTAATCCCACAAAAAAGGAAGAAAATTTTGAAATGATCAATTGCTAAATTTTGACCATGTCACCATCCTTAACCTAGAAGATTTGAGGCAAAAATAGAAGTGGAAAATGAAAGGTTCCGCAAAGTCCAGCATGCTAAAAGGAGTAAAAGTTGCAATAATTTTGATGCGATAAAATGTCTGCTCTTAACTTCTTTGTTACAATGTAAATTACTAGGTACTTGCCTGTCTATATAATTTTCTTTACTCACACGCTCAAACAAACACACACACTCTCTCTTCATGTGTAGAAATTATGTTGTAGGCAGCTAGCCATGGGAAAAACTCCTTGCTGCGATAAGACTAAACTGAAAAAGGGACTTTGGTCTGCAGAAGAAGATGCAACCCTCAGGAATTACATTAAAAAATATGGCACTGGTGGCAACTGGACAACCTTTCCTCACAAAGCTGGTCTCTCTCTCTCTCTCTCCACACACACACACACATTTTTTACCAAAACTTGACTAGGGTTCTTCATTTCAATGCAATTCATGTTCAGTTGTAAATTTTCTTTAAAAGGGTTGCCCTATTCAGTAAATTTGATCTTGTTGACATTGGTCAGGAGTTCATTTTTGTTCCTATTTTTGCTCTATGATCATGCACTAGACATCAGACTGTTCTTTGTCAGATTTGGGACCATTTAATATGGTATATATGTTCAATCCCAACAATGGCTACATAATGTTCAAGCTTAATGATTTTTTAGCATGTTTTATCGACTGGATTCTCAACTTCACTATATTATATGACAGTATTAAGAAACAAAAATAAGTTAAAATTTTATCAATTGCAGTTGTTTAGTACAAGTATAACATGTTCTTCAAAAAAATAAGTTAATTGTTGTACATTGCATTGTTCTAGTTTTTGTTCACTGATAATTTATCCTCGTGCCTCAGGTCTTAACCGTTGTGGCAAGAGCTGTCGTCTCCGGTGGCTTAATTACCTTCGACCGGATATAAAACATGAAGCTTTTACACCAGAAGAAGACTATATAATATACACACTCTATAATAGCTTGGGAAGCAAGCAAGTTTGATTATACATAAAATTATATAATTATTTAATGTTGTTTTTAAAGTTAATTAAGACATTTTATCTCTTAATTTTTATTAATTTACCTTCTTTTTTTTATAAATTTATAGATGGTCTGTCATATCATCTCATCTACCCGGAAGAACCGACAATGATGTGAAAAACCACTGGAACAGCAAGTTAAAGAAGAAGCCAATGGCAGCTGCATATGGTTATCACCCCGCAAAAAATATCGACGCCACCACTGCGGTCGCCAATGCTACCACCACCACCATGACAACGATCACCGACCTCTTGACTTCAACCACCAACACTTTGGTTCCCACATTTTCAGCTCAAGAGACATCTCCTATAATGCCATGTTTAACTGACAGTAGGAGATACCCAAGTTTTTCTTCATCATCCAGACAAGATTCGGCCATTTCGGGAACATTTGCTCGGCTTGGAGAAAATTTCATGTTTGGCAATGGCAGTTTCAGTAAGGGGATTCCAATGGATGATATTGGCAATGGATATTCTTATGAAATTCTGAGTGAAATTTGGTCCCAAGAGGCAACCATTGAAGGCGTCCCTAATTTGAATTGAAATAAAAAAGAGATGTGTTTTGTCATATAGCTTGGTTCATAGTATATGGGATTGTTTATTGATACAACACATATAAAAGCATTTGATACAAATTACTCTTGGGGAAAAGTGAATTGACAGCCAATGAGCGATAAGCCGAAGCAGGTACCATTGCGGAAGGAGTACATTAATGATCTTAGTCTTCGTTATGTGAATATTTATGATGAAGCATAATAACGGTTTCAAATCGGACGGGACTGCTTGAGTTGTAAACCAGTTGACTCACGAAGAATTGAATGGAATCTATCAATTTGGATTAATACAGCCAAATTATTAAAGGTTGGGGACACATGTTGAAAAAAGGTTTGGGACTAAAGTGCAAAAGTCTGTAAAGGTTGGGAAGTTTACTGCAATTTACCCTTTTTTTTGGGAAAAATTGAAGGCAATGATATACAAACTTACCAAAATTTCTAGACCTAAAGAAACCCCCGTTGTAAGAGCGCTACAAATCCAACGGAAGATATTAGAAATAGAAGAAAAGGCAAAGCAAAAGCCTTTTTTTTTTTTTTACAGAAATTAACATGAATCAACATAGCTGTGGAAGTTTTCAGTTTTGATTGTATTACAAGCTCAATTGTAACATACAAAGCAGCAATGACACACATTTTACCTCCAAACATTAAATCGAATGGAAAATAATTTGGTATTATCTATACAAACATGTACTCTAATGGACAGGCAGAAATTTCGTTTCACAAAACAGGGTGGTAGCGGCAGCTCACGATATGTTCTCCATCTTTATACAATTTCTTCAAAGTTGAGCTGACAACTGCAAAAGAGACCGTCAAAAGCATTGTCACGTCAAATGGTTTGTGATTCACTTGAATCCATCATAATCAAACATTATCAAAGCAAGAGCAGCACTACGAGCTCAACACTACAATAAGCGGGGCTCTCACACACTAAAAATATGAGAAAAAAAAATTGCAACTAATGATTTTATAGTAAATATAGATATTTGATATCAGCAAATGAGTGTGCAGCAACAGTTTTCTTTTTTAAGTCTCAGTAGCACAGTCCCCATTGATACTAATAGCCAGAGGACGCAAATAACAACATTTGTCATGGAAAACCGGCCAGGCCTGAAAGTCGGTCATGTGTACAAGTGTTCTTCAGAGGTCGAAACCCTTTTTGTGAGGAACCATTTAGGTTTGCTTTATATGAAGGCAATTTAATTAGGGTGTGTATGTGTATAAAATTATTCTTGATCTCTGGTTTAATCCTGGTCGAACCCTTGGACCCTTGATCCGTTACGTTGCCTGAGTCAGGTTTTAAAACATTGATAACTGATACATAGAAAATGACCTTGTTAAAGTGCCATCTCTGCCTGCAATGCAGCAAGCTCGTCTTCCTCTTCTGTATTCTTGCGAGCAACCGGACGTACAGGTTGCTTTCCAGCAGGCACTTGAACTTGAGCAGCAGGGGCGGTTGTTGCAGGTTGCAGGAGTTGTTCCTCCAACTCAGCTCCTTCCAGCTCTTCAAGTTCTGCCTCTAATTCATCCTGTGAAAGTAAAGGGATACAATACTGTCAAAAGAAGAACTCCCAATAAAAAGGCATTTTTCGTTTTTTGGTTCTTTTGACCAAATGAACAGGTTATCAGAAATTGGAGAATGCAAACTTCATCAAAATCAGCCGCTGCACCAATTGGTGCTGACAGTGCTTCTTGAATCTGTTTCATATTTTCGGTCTGCTCATTGATCTCATCCATTGTCTTGTCCACATCATCAATATTACTGAAACGGTAAAGGCAAGTAGAGAATGTGAGGGAACATAATCCTGTGCATTTTGAAGGATCTTATATCAAGATAACAAAGAATAAAAACAGTGACAAAATTAGACAATGTAACCATATTCAAACTTTAGGTATCCGATACCCTCACTCCATTCATTTACGGAGATATTTTTAGATATTAAAGTTTCTCTTGAAGAAATGTAGTCACCACTGGAGCTACAAAGAAATATCTAAATTATGAGCTCAACACAACAATTTTCAATCTTGGTGCAGCCTTTGAAAGTATATCTTGATTGTCTACGAAACTTATACAGTTATACTTAAGTCAACCATGCAAAACCGCATCAAGTTTATATCAGTTCCCATGCTGCTGTATTAATTAAATTTTCTTAATAATAAAGAAACAGTTAGGCGGGATTGTAATACAACTTACGTCGCCTTCTGCATGGCTTTCATTGCAGCTGCTCCAGTTCTCAACGCGTCAACGGTTTCTGTTGTAGCTTTTGCACCTTCTAGCATTATCATCTGAAATCAAGGTTTAGAAATAGAATGTTAACAAATTGAAATTCATGAAAAACACATTACTTGGAATAACTCTCATGTTCAAAAAATGATCACGAGCACCTGATCATGGATG